GGGGCGTGAACGATACAGATTTGTTCTAGAAAACAACTGTAATTAACACATGGCTTACGGATTTTTCCCTGATTTTCTTGAAATACTTAGCTAGTATTTCTTTTAAAATTTAAATACTTGCTAAAATGGACACTGAAGGAGATCCATATGGTCTTTTTTTTTTTTCTCAGTGTGTTTGGCTAAAATGGGGAGTGGTGTTGGTTTTGTTTGTTTATTTTTAAAGCTGTTGAGTCAGAGTGCTGGTGAAAAAATGAGTTCTCTGGTTTTCAAATCTGTGCGGCTTTTCTTGGGTCTCTTCAGACAGGAGCCTGCCTCAGGAAACAGGAGGCTGGGCTACTACATGAAAGCCTGCTCTTAACTGGCTAGTTAAGGTAAAAGCATTAAAGGCTTTTAGCAAACCCTGCTCTATAAAGTGTATTTTAGAGGAATATAATTTAGCCGATGAGAGATGACATTTACGTAGAGAGAGTGCAATGATCTCCAGAGGTCCCTTCCAACCCCTGACATTCCGTGATTCTCTGAGTGGTAACATTTAGAATCCAGGCTGCAGCAGAAAACTTTTGGGTCTTGGACCTCGCCCTCTTTGTTTATGTAGCAAGAACTCCACGGTCAGAAATAGCTTTTTTAGGCACACTAGGAGTTCCTTCTGTCTTGGAAATAAACTTGGTGCGTTTGTGTTCCTCCCACAGGGATTTCGTGTTGATTTACCCATCAAGTCTGCGCGATACCGTGGCCAGTACAGTAGCTACCCCATCAAGCTCTTTTATACCTCCAACATTCCCATCATTCTGCAATCTGCCTTAGTTTCAAACCTCTACGTCATTTCCCAGATGTTATCTGTTCGCTTTAGCGGCAACTTCTTGGTGAACTTACTAGGACAGTGGGCAGTAAGTTTTCATTGCTTGTTTTTAACTGTGTGAAATTATTTGTAGATATTACTTCATTGTGGATCTTTGGTGTTTAACCAGCAGGAAACTGTATAAAAAAATCCGTGTATAAAAAAATCTATATATTAAAGCTCTTTTAAACATTGAAGAGGAATTCCTCTATAAATACAGGATAGGAATGTGAGAAATAACTGCCTTTTTCTTTCCTTCTCGTAGGATGTCAGTGGCGGTGGCCCTGCTCGCTCTTACCCCGTTGGAGGCCTGTGCTACTACTTGTCCCCTCCAGAATCCATGGGGGCAATATTTGAGGATCCTGTCCATGTAATAGTTTATATAATATTTATGTTGGGGTCTTGCGCGTTCTTCTCAAAGACTTGGATCGAGGTGTCTGGCTCGTCAGCGAAAGATGTAGGTGTTCTGATAAACGTGCCCAAGTGTTTTCAAACTCTGCCTCTAATTTCGAACTTACTAGCTACTAATACACCGGTTCTTACTCTGACTGAACATTGTGTGACTATGAAACACCACAGCAGTCTCATGAAATGATGGTTTTTGCAGGTTGCCAAGCAACTCAAAGAACAGCAAATGGTGATGAGAGGCCACAGGGATACTTCGATGGTTCACGAGCTTAACAGGTAAGAAAGTGCCGACTTCCAGCTGGTGAAGAGCGCTGCAGGATTGTTGGTGGGAGCAGGTGTTCGCAGAAAAACCTGCAACCCGTTACCACAGCAAATGTCCAGATTCTTCCCATTCTGCTGTTGCCTTCCCTAGTAATGCAAAAGCTCTTTACAGCAGTAAGAGACTAACCTGTTGTGACTTGGATTTTAAGGGAATTTGGGTTGAATCTCCTCCATGTTTGTAAAAGGAATCATAGAATGTTCAGGGTTGGAAGAGACCTCTAGAGCTCATCTAGTCCACCCCCCTGACAGAGCAGGATCCCCTAGGGCAGCCACACAGGAACGCATCCAGGTGGGTTTTGAAAGTCTCCAGAGGAGACTCCGCAGCTTCCCTGGGCAGCCTGTGCCAGGGCTCCGTCACCCTCACAGGAAAGAAGTTTCTCCTCATGTTGAGGTGGAACTTCCTATTTTCGAGCTTACACCCCTTATTCCTTGTTCTATTACTGGGCACCACTGAGAAGAGACTAACATCTTCCTCTTGACCCCCACTCCTCAGGTATTTGTATACATTAATGAGATTCCCTCTCAGCCTTCTCTTTTCAAGACCAAACAGCCCCAGTTCTCTCAGTCTTTCTTCATATGAGAGATCTTCAGGTCCCTTGAAGGAAGATACCTTGATTTTTACAGGTGCTTAATTTACCGTTACTCAACTACCAAAGCAGTATTTTATGCAGTACACAAAGCCTGCACACCTATACTGAAAAGCAGATTAATCCCTACATATTTAAGTCAAATTCATAATCCTGTGGAGCTTACGTAGCACACGCCTCTATAAAATTGTTGTGCTATGAACTGAAAAGCTTTGCGGCTGTTCGATTATTCACACAGCTGTCTTATCAGTGAGTGTTTGGTTTAGTTCCCACGTGCAAATAGGGAAGATAGTAAGAGCTAACGGCAGAGTTGCGCTCGCAAGGCTTAACTTGTTGCTCAATATTCTAGTTGGTTGCTTTAGTATTTTTAGAATCCTCGGATGAAAATTCGTGATTTTAAATATTTTTTCTGTTTTTTCCCCCCTGGGACAGGTATATCCCTACAGCAGCTGCATTTGGTGGTTTGTGCATCGGTGCCCTCTCAGTACTGGCTGACTTTCTAGGAGCCATTGGGTCCGGCACTGGCATTCTGCTCGCGGTCACTATTATTTATCAGTACTTTGAAATATTTGTAAAAGAACAGGCTGAGGTTGGAGGAGTAGGTGCATTATTTTTCTAGATGTCCAAATATTTCATGGTTTGTGTGAAAGGGAAAGTATTTTGACAATATGCGTCATTTAGTCCAATAATGCTCTTTTCTTTTTACTCGTTTTCAAGTGCTACGTGTCCCATTACTGTAATGGGCATTGAGCGATGCCTGTGTGCAGCATTAGTACCAGCTGCCTTAAGAATAAAGTTTACATTATCTTGTTTAAGTATTATCTAGTGTTGCCTGTAATGCTGGAAACCAATTCATCTACCTTGCTGTTCAGACACTACAGTGAGATGGTAAAACGTATCAGTTTGAGAGCAGTAAACATTTTTGCACACAACGTTAAAATGTTTATTTCCCTGTCCTTAATAGGAAAAAAAAAAAGAAAAAGAAAAATCTGAGTTCAGATTGCCACGTGCCAGTATTCCTGACAAAATTTATTTGTAGCCTGTATTTTACATTGATTTTTTGTACTTTTTTAACTTGCATTTCCCCCATCAGTGAACTCGGCACTCCTTATTCCTTTGTGCCACCCGGGCACCTTTCTCATAGCTCTAAGGATGGACAAGCAAACATTTTACCGGCGACTGATACTCATCTCACCCGTGAACTGGTTCTGTGGTGGATTTGCTGCATCGCAGGGCCCCGGACGTTTCGGTTTCTTGCCCTGGGCCTCCCTCCCGTGAGCGAGCGCGGTAGCTGCTGTCATGCTAGCAAGTCAGCCCAGTAGTTTTGTTTAAACATGTACTTGTGAAAATTGTGCCACTGAAACTTCACGTCCACTTCGCTTTTGTGAGTCTAAAGAACAAGGCCTGGTTCCTAAAGCAGTGTTCATAGAAGGGAAAGGGGGGGA